AATGACAGAGTGACCTTGGGCCTGGGCTGTCCCTCCCCCCAGCCCTGGTGCTCCTAGGGGCGGGCCTGAAAGGGAATTCACACCTTGCCTCTCCCTCCCAGCCCTCAGATTCTTCCCGTCATCCTGCCCCTACCGTCCCGGTCCCTTGTCTCCAGTCAAGACAAGCCCTTCACAGAGAAGTTCTGGATAGAATATCTCTAAGCTGGGCTGTGCAGAAATGCCTTTATCCATCCATGTTCTGGGGGCTTTGGATCCTGCTGGAGACCACACTCCACCCACAGTGCTTTTTTTTTTCCCTTGGAATTTTGAGACAGGGTTTCTCTGTGTAGCCCTGGCTGTCCTGAACTCACTCTGTAGACCAGGCTGGCCTCAAACTCAGAGATCCTACCTCCCAGGTACTGGGATCAATGGTACCACATCACTTCTGATCATGGTGGGAAGGAGAGGTCTGGGGACAAGAGGGGGTGTGCATTGAAGGGCCCAGGGAACCCCTGGCTTGCCGGGGTTGGAGAGGTACTTGTCCAAGGTCACACGCTCACACCCTCAGAGGCACAGCAAGGATTTGTAGCAGCCACACAGGCATCGGCTGAATTCCTAAGAAACTGAGGCACAGAAGCCGGAGCCACAGACTATTCCATGTCCAGGGGTCGCACCTTGCTGTTTTAGGCAAGAGTCTCAGCAGCCATCCTTCCCTTCCCCCTCCTCCCTGCCCTATCCTTCAGAGTTTAACTTGCTTTTAGGTCGTAACTGTAAATAAATCCAGTCTGAAAAGGCCGTGTATGGGACTCGCCCAATCAAGAGCAGATTTGGAAAGCAAGGACCAATCAGAGGGTCCAGAACAGATTAATGAAGTCAATACAATGGGGGTGTTTTATTGATGTATTTTATTAAGTTGTATGCATTTGTGTGTGTATGTGTGTGTGTGTGTGTGTGTGTGTGTGCATGTGCACATGCGGGACAGCCAGAGGACAACTTTCAGGAGCTGGCTTTTTCTTTCCACCTTGTGGGTTCCAGGGATCGAACTCAGATCTTCAGTCGTGGCCAGAGATGGGTACTGAGCCATCTCACAAGCCTAAGCTTTTAAAGTTTTAAATCTGCATTCTAGTTTTTCCTAGGGCAACTTCTTTCTCTTCTTGGACATGGGCAGGGCTTATGTTTGAGAAGCTCAGAAGGGATTTTAGCACAGAATGAAGACTCCGGGGCCTAGGCTGAAAGTTAGGATTCTTTGGGTAGGAAGGCAAAGACAGAGGGTGTGGCTTAGGCAGAAGAGGTGGGGCTTATACTTGTGGGCGGAGCCTATGATGAATATTCTGAGTCCATGCTAAGAATCTAGAGTCTCAGGCTGGACGCGGTGGCGCACGCCTTTAGTCCAAGCACTGAGGCAGAGGCAGGCGGATCTCTCTGAGTTTAAGGCCAGTTTGGTTTACATGGCAAATTCGGGGCCAGCCCATCATATAGAGCTGGGCTTTAGGCTTTGAGGCGGGACCTAAGAGGCAGCCGGTAGGACCAGAATTGGGGTAGAGCCTAGGTGAAGAATTACGGGCTTGGTCATCAGTTGTATTGGAAGGTCTGTTCAGGAACTAGGGCTCCAGTTAGACAACTGCACTGTGTACTTTTGGTGTTCCACTACCTCTGCCTGCTTCGTAGGCTCTTCATTTGTCCATTGTGTGTCTCCATTACTTTCTCCTCTTCCCTGTCACCTCCAGCTCAGGTCTGATTTCACCTCTTTCCCCTTCATTTTTATGCTGTGCTGCCACTTATTACCTACCTGTGTGACCCTGGGCAAGGTATTAAACCTCTCTCTGCCTCAATGATTCTCATCTGTAAAATGGGCATAGTCATGGGAGCACTTCCTTACCTGAAGGTCCCCAAACCATTGCTACCTACAGTGTTGCTACATCTATGTTCACACTTGATGCCATTATTCTCCTACTTCCTTATTGTGGTGTGTGTGTGTGTGTGTGTGTGTGTGTGTGTGTGTGTGCAAGCCAGAGGTCAACCTCAGGTGTTCTTTCTCAGGAGTGGTCCACTTTTTTAAAAAATTTTAAATTATATGCATGGCAGTGGTGCACATCTTTAATTCCAGCACAAACAAAAAAAAATGTTGTCTGTGTATGGGTGTAATGTCTGCACGCTACTTGCACATTTGGTGCCTGCGGAGGTCAAAAGAGGGTGCGGGATCCCTGGGAGCTGGAGTTACAGAGACCATGAGCTGCCATGTAGGTGCTGGGAATTCTCTCTGGAAAAAAAAGAAGCCAGTGTTTTGTTTTGTTTTTTAAATATATTTTATTTTATTTTTATGTGCATTTGTGTTTTTGCCATGGGTGTGGGGATCCCCTGAAACTGGAGTTATAGACAGGTGTGAGCCACCATGTGGGTGCTGGGAATTGAACTCAGATCCTCTGGAAGAAGAGTCTGCGCTCTTAACCCCTGAGCCATCTCTCCAGCCCGAAGCCAGTGTTTTTAACAGATGAGCCATCTCTCCAGCCCACGTTTACTGTGTTTGTGAGACAGATTCTCTCACTGGGACCTAGGGCTGGCAGGTTAGGCTACCCTGGGTGGCCCAGAAATCCTCCAGGGATCTGCCTCTCTCAGCCTCCACAGAGTTTGGGTTCCAGAAGGTAGCCATCATCCCCCTGCACAGCACCCCAAAGGCTTCACAGACTGAGTGATCTCCCTAGTCCCCCTTTCTGCTTCGGTCTCAACCCTGTACCCCCTTGCTCTAGCTAGAAGGTGGGGTGGGGATGGTGTCTGGAGGGTGTGGACAGCTGGAGACTAGAGAGGGGAGATTAGGATCATCTAGTCATTAGGATCATTTTGAGTTGGTCCATCCTTCACCAAAGAGGAGATCTGCAGTGGTGAGTTGGCTCTGGGGGTGTGCCTAGGGAGGATTTCCACATGGCGGGGTCCCTAGTGGGAAGTGTTTGAGACACAGGCTGCAATAAGACCTTGAGGAAGGCTTTGCTGAGTTTGGGGTTCCTGTGTGTATCTCAGAAAGAGATGCAACATGGCCTGAGGTACCCAGTGGGCTCTGAGGAAAGGACGGGCAGGCCAGCTCTGGGGTGGGAGTCAGACACTAAGGGTCCAAATAAGGAAGAAGCAAGGTATTCTGGGATCCACGGGAGTCACAGAGGCTACAGGAGCTCAAGGCAGAAGGACTGATTGCTGGGGGGGGTGGGGGGAGGGAGAGAATCTGTGGCAAATGGGGAAAGGTAAACCAAGGGGTGCCCTGAAAGGAATAGAAAGTTCCAAGGTTCCCAAGGGTGCTGGACGATGACCTGAGGTATAGTTGGGGAAATGAGAAGCATTAAAGGGTCTTCGATGGGCAGAAGAGATGTTTGGTGTTAGACGTGAGCCATGATCTGCAGTTCCTCCTGTGGGCGGGAAATGAAGGCCTTGATGGAGGAAGGGCAGGCATGGTTGGGGTTGGACCCATTGCTCTGGATGGCTGTGAAACATGGTCTGCTTCCCCAGGGTTCCCCAAAGGATCAAAGCTATGGTGGCTCTTTCTGGACACTGACAAATAGTCGGAGTCCTCCATGGATTCTGGGGTGTGGTCCGAGTGGTGGGTATGATTTAGGATGACTGGGTGTAGGGTGAGGTCTGGATCCCCTGGGATGCTGTGATATGATCTGAGGTCCCTCTGGAATTAGAGGTGTATGGTCTAGGTTTCCTGACAGGGTGTGCCCACCCCCACCCCCATCTGAAGTCACGAAACAGAGAGCACAGTCCCTGGTCCCAGGTGGCTCACCACCATGCTTTGGGGTTTCAAAGGAGGTAAGACCTGTCCTCTGAGGATGTGATGGAGAGAGCTGGTGTGTGTGTGTGTTGGGGGGGGGGTGTCCAAGTAGCCGATGGGGCGTGGTCTGGAGGGACGGGTGGGGCCGGGGCCCAGGCTGGACCCCGGCGCTCCGCAGTGGAGAGGGGGTCTGCAGCGACCTGGGCGTGCGTGTGGCCGCCCCACCTAGGGCCGGCGCCCCCTCCCCCCT